CACCAGCAGTGGACGAGAGTTCTTATCTTACCACAGCCCCTCCAACACTTGTTACTTTCTGATTTTTTTGAATTGGGCTATCATTGAAGGTGTTAGGTGGTATCTCATAGTTGTTTTAATGTGCATTTCTCTATGGCTAATGATCGGGAATATTTTCTCATATCTTTTTTGGCCATTCGGATTTCTGCCCCTGTAAAATTTCTGTTCAGGTTCTTTGCCCACCTCCTTAGTGGGCAGTTATTTATTTTTTTATTGTAAGCTTGCAAAGTATTGTAGATTTCAGTAATAAGGCCTTTGTCTGATGTGTCATTGCTAAAGATGTTTTCCCAGTCTCTTATGATTCTCTTGGTGAAGTCTTTCCACGTACACAGGTGCTTTATTAGTATATTCCATTTATATCCCACTTGTCAATTTATGGCTCCTCTTTATTTGTATCCTTCCTTGTTTCCAATAGCCTATGTATTCCCGGTGCTAAGGTTCTCAGGTTTGTCCCAATTCCCTCATTAAGGGTCCTAATAATATGGGGTTTTACCTCAAGCTCTGTGATCTACTTTGAGGTTATTTTTGTGCATGGAGTGAGCTAAGCACCTTGCTTCACTTTTCTGCAGGTAGATATCCATTTTTTCCAGCACCATATATTGAAGACGGCATCCGCTTCCCATTTGATATTTTTGGGGCCCTTATCAAAAATCAGTTGCCTATATGCTGATGTTTTTTTATCTGCGTCATCAGCTCTTTTCCATTGGGCTGAATATCTGTCGTTATACCAGTACTACACTGTTTTGACAACTGTGGCCATATAATACGTGCTAATGTCAGATAGAGCAAGCCCTCCCACTTTGTCCTTCTTCAGGAGTTCTCTGCTAATTCTGGGCTTCTTCCCCCTCCATGTGAAGTTGGTAATCAGTTTTTACAGTGCTTTGAAGAAGGATGAGTGGGGACAAGAGGTATCCTTGTTTGGTCGCCTTTTTCAGTGGAATCATTTTTGTCTTTTCTCCATTGATTACCATGCTGGCTGTTGGTTTTTCATATCTAGCTTGTATAATATTGAGGAATTCCTGTCTACTTGAGTGTCTTACAGGAATGGGTGTTGGATGTTGTCAGATGCTTTTCTACATCTATTGATATTATCACGTGGTTCTTAAAATTTTTTATGTCAATGTGGTGAATAATACTAATGGCCTTTCCTACGTTGAACCATCCCTGCATCCCTGGCATGAATCCCACTTGCTCATGGTGAATTAATTGCTTTATATGCTTTTATATTCTGTTGTCCTGTATTTTGTTAAGGATTTTTGCATCCATGTTCATAGGGATCTTGGTCTATAGTTCTTGATTCTTGTGGGGTCCTTGCTTGCTTCAGGTATCAGAATTATACGAGTTTCGTATAAAGAGTTTGAGAATTTTCTGTCTTTTACTATGTTTTGGAAGAGTTTGTGTAGGATTGGTGTCAGTTCTTCCCTGAATGCTTGGTAGAATTCTCCTGTGAAGCCATCTGGCCCGGGGAATTTTTTTGTTGGTAATCCCTTGATAACCTTGTCTATTTCTTGTATTGCTATGGGTCTGTTGAGATTCTTCACATCCATCTGGGATAGGGAGGGATAGTTTTTCCAAGTATTTGTCCATGTCTTCCAAGTTGTTGAATTCATTAACATACAGGCCATCGTAGTACTGTGTAAGTATCCTTTTGATTTCATTAGGGTCTGTTGTAATGTCCCCTGTTTCATCCCTCATCCTTCTATTGAAATTTTTCCCCCCTCCTTTCTTTTGTTAGGTTTGCTAGCGGTCTATTGATTCTGTTAATCCTTTAAAGAACCAACTTTTAGCTGCATTAATTTTTCCAATAGTTTTCTTGTTTTCCCTCTCTGTGTCTCTCAGCTCTGATATTTTATTTCTATCATTTTGCTATTAGTAGGTTTGTTCTATTGATTCTGCTCTAATTGGTTTAAGTTTTGTGCCAGCATATCAACCACAAGTCTCTCTTCCCTTTTCATGTGTGCATGTATTGCTATCAGCCTTCCTCTGGTAAATGCCTTTGTGGTACCCCAAAGGTTTTGGTACATCATATTGTCATTCTCATTGGTTTCTAGAAACTTCCTGATTTAATCTCTGATCTGGGCCAATACCCACTGCTTTTGCAATAGTTATTCATCCTCCAATTGTTTACTCTTATTTTCTTCATCATCCTTTTATTGATTTCCAGTGTTATGGCACAGTGGTCGGAGAGAGACGTCTATATAATCTCTCTGTGCTTGAATTTACTCAGGTTCAACTTGTGTCTCAGCATGTGGTCATCTTTGAGGATGTGCCATGTATGCTTGAAAATAATGGATGTTTTTTTTGGTTTTTTTTTTGCATTTGGGTGGAAAGCTCTGAAAATCAGGTCAGGTAGTCCAATTATGCTGTTTAGATCTTAACCTCCTTGTTGAGTTTCTTTCCCTTTGATCTGTATTTTTAAGAGAACAGCGTATTAAAGTCACCTACTATAATTGTGGAGCCTGTGATTTCTTTTTTCATCTTATGGAGTGTTTGATTTATGAATTTCACAGGTCTTTCTTTGGGCACATATCATATACCTTGAGATCAATTTTGTCAGAGATTAAAATTGATACCCCTGCTTTTTTTTTCATTGCCATTTGTTTGGTATATTTTTCTCCAGCCTTTAATTCTCAACCTGTTTTTGTCTGCAAGCTTGAGATGTGTCTCCTGTAGGTAGAAGATCAATGTTTTATGTTTTCTGAGCCAGTCTGTTAGCCTCTGCCTTTTAATGCCTGAGTTCAGTCCATTGATATTCATTATTATTATATCCATCTGTAGACTCTGTGATGCCTTCTTGTACCTTTTGTGTTGGGATTTTTCCTATTTACCTTTCTTATCAGTTTGTTGTGTGTGTGTGGTTCATTCTTGCCTTCTTTGCACTATTGATCTAATGCTATCTTGGGAACTGTTTTCTCTTTTATCGCCCTCTGGGCGTATTTGTTCTGTGTGGTGATCTCTTATTGGTGCTTGGTGGGTGTTCATCTTCTGCCCATACTGGCGTGTCATTGATCTTTTGTAGGGCTGAGTTTCTTTTTATATATAATTTGAGTGTTTCCTTGTCTGAGAAGACTCTTACTTCTTCATCTATCTTAATTGATCATTTGGCCGGGTATAGTATTCTTGGGTTTGCTTTATTTTCCTTCAATTTTGGGAATATGTTACTCCATTCCCTCCTTTTCTTCATCATATCCGTTGATAGGTCTGAACATATTCTTATTTGGGTACCTTTGTAAGTGTTTATTTGTTTTTCCCTAGCTGCTCTTATTATTTCCTCCTTTTCCTCAAAGTTGGATAGTTTAACTATTATGTGTCTTGGTGACTTCATCTTGGGATTCAGTCTAGCTGGTGTTCCTTCAGCCTCCTGAATGGTTGCGTGGTTTTAATTTATTAAGCTGGGGAAGTTTTCCTCTAAGAACTCCCTTGCTATTTTTGCTGTTGACTTGTTGTGTCTTGTTTCGGTAGTCCAATTATTCTAATATTATTCCACTTCATAGCATCAGATATGCCTCTGCCTCTTAGGTTCATGAAATAGAATTTTTAAGAACCTAAATCGAAGTACCTTTATTGCAAATAATTTCACTTAATGTGAACTATTTAGAGTGATGTGCTAGAGAATATTTTAAAATAAGTTCATGCCGCATTTTTCCTATTTTTTTCTAACAAAATCTAGACTATTTATTATGTCTGCTTTATTCATTATAATAAAACATGTTTTAGAATGGATTCTGATTTTTACTTCTAAACCTATACTGTTTACAATCACTATGTTACTATTACAAAAATTAGATTGTATATATGGTTAGGAAGTCACTTATTTCATATTTAAAGCATCTGGGACAATTACATTCCAATTAGAAGAAAAATCAGGAAGCATTATAAAGAATTTATAAAGAATTTTGATCCTGTATTTATCAGAATAGTTTTTTTTGAGGTGGAGGTAGTAATTTTTTAAGTTTATATACAGGAAGTATATTTAAAATATTTCATGCTGAAATGTTAGTTAAAGAAGATCTTTTGTAAATTAGTTTTTTAAACACAGAGTGCATGCATCATCTTTGTGAATACATACAGATTGCTTGGATGAAAGATTTAAATAAATGACTACATGACTGGATCATTTCTAAAACTACCCTAATTTTCCTAGGTTTAGAAAATAAGTGAGCACTGCAAAAGAAAGAAGAAATGCCTTTCTCAGCTAAGCATGATAGTGGTACAAGGGGAAAGTAAAAGGAAATAGAGGAAAGAACTAGGAGGCAAAGGGCATTTATAGAGCTCTAAATACAGGCATGTACATATGTAAATATATTTTTATATGAGGATGGGGAAATAGATCTGTGTGCATATATGTATAGGTTTAGTATTAAGGTAGCAGAAGGACATTGGGCCTCCACTCAAATACTCCCTCAATGCAAGAACACTTTGTTCTATTAAACTGGTAATCCATGATGCTCACCTTCCCAACATGATTGCTGAAGACAAATCGGGTGCATAAGCAAATGTGGTGAAGAAAGCTGATGGTGCCCGGCTATCAAAAGATATAGCGTCTGGGGTCTTAAAGGCTTGAAGATAAATTAGCAGCCATCTAGCTCAGAAGCAACAAAGCCCACATGGAAGAAGCACACCATACTGTGTGATCATGAGGTGTCGATAGGATCAGGTATCGGGCATCAAAGAAAAAAAAAACCCATATCATTGTGAATGAGTGGAAGTGCCGAGTGGGGACCCAAAGCCCATCTGTAGCCATCTGGACATCCCTTTACAGAAGCGTTGCAGGTAGGAAATGAGCCAGTCAGGGTACAGTGTAACAACAATAAAACATACAACTTTCCTAAGGTGACCAGACGTCCTGCTTTGGTGGGACAATTCTGATTTTTAACAATTTTTCCCGCGTCCCGTGGCATTTAAAAAAAGTCCCGATTTTTGAAAGAATGCACTACAAGCTAGGGTATACAGTTTTCATCTGCCATGTGGCTATTTCGCCAGGATATGAGTTTTATCACTGGTGTCCCGCTTCACCAATGTTAAAATCTGGTCACCTTAAACTTTCCTCTAGTTCTAATGTTTCCCTTGTCCCCCCACTATCATGATCCCTATTGTACCTTACAAATCTGGCTAGACCAGAGGACTTACACTGGTACAGATAAGAACTGGAAACACAGGGAATCCAGGACAGATAAACCCCTCAGGACCAATAATGAGCATAGAGATACCAGGAGGTTAAGGGGAAGGGGGGGTAGAAAGGGGGAACCGATCACAAAGATCTACATGTAACCCCCTCTCTGGGGGACAGACATCAGAAAAGTCTGATGAAGGGAGATTTCGGACAGTGAGACATGACAAATCAATAATAATTTATAAATTATCAAGGGTTTGTGAGGAAGGGGACGGTGAGGGAGGCAAAAAAATGAGGAGCTGACACCAAGGGCTCAAGTAGGAAGAAAATGGTTTGAGAATGATGATGGCAACAAATGTCAAATGTGCTGGACACACTGGGTGAATGTATGGATTTTGATAAGTATTGTATGAGCCCCCAATAAAATGGTCTTAAAAAGAAAAAAATGCCTTTCTCATGAGTAAAATTTATGTTTGTTTTATATTACTATAAGAATTATGTTACTACATAGCTTTATGGTATTACAGGATTATGTAGAAGCTGAAAGTAAATTCTTGTTGATGAAGATAACCATCCAAGAAAACAAAATTTGTGAAAACTTCATGTCTTTAGTTTACTTTGGACGTGGCTTACTTCGGTGTGCTCAGAAAAGGTAAGACTTTTAGCTCACTGGTAGATGTTGCCTTCAGTATGGTGAAATGGGGTGGAGCTGGACAGATACCAGGGATCATGGCATCTGTGATCTGTCGTTTTGTTCTTTTCGTCTTTCTCCTGTTCTGTGGACAGCCATGTCTTCGTTCATGTGCTTGCGACTACTAGACATCCGACTTAGCAGTCCATGGCAATGGCAGTAGAGCAAAGATATTAGGAAGATAAGCTTCAGTGATTCACAGATCTGCGTTCAAATACATTTCCTATCAGTTACCTAATTAATGATCCTAGAAAACTTAACATTGTTGAGTCTTGGAATATTTTTAGTATTTAAAATAGACCTAATAATATGAGAGGACTTCAAAAAGTTCATGAAAAATTGGAATTCAAATGAAATAATAATGGAATTTTACCAAAAAATCTTGATGCCCCTTATAGTCCATATCACATCAGGATGGTGAAGTGATTAACACAGTTCCAGGACATTAAAATGCTGTACTTATAAATAAGTGAGAATTCTAATTACCAATACTATCCCCACCGATGTAGGGTTTTAATGTATAAATGCACTCACAGGACTAAAATTGTTTAAATGTTGAGTTTGGGGAACATTGAATATTATATATTTGGTAGTAATTTCCATTTGTCCCTCATTTCTCCATGGAGTAGATTCTCTCACATCCCTGAGTTCTGTGATTTGCTATACTGCCCCACAAAAACTCTCCAAACTCCGAGGAGATGTCTCCAAGTGGTGGGTGCTTTTCAATCTTAAATCTGAAAGTCAGGCAGAGGAGAGATAAAGGCAGAGTCCAGAGCCAGAACCCAACAATGTCCAAAACCCATAGCAGGTCTTCTTGCTTCTATCAAAGCTCACTCAAGAAATAGAGATTTGGTTCGCCAGGTGAGTGGCGTGTGCTAAATAGAGATTTGGTT